ATTCCAACTTTATAAAAAAAAAAAAAAAAAAATCCGAGATAATTTTATGGTTAATAGTAAAATTTAGAATGCATCTGCACACAATCAGGCTTCTTTCAATGAATATTAATAATCATTATTTTTTAATCAATGGTTAGCATTATTACGATAAATCGTAAAAATTGTATAAGCATACATAATTTGTTAAAATATTAGTATAAATTACACATTAGAGATGCACCTAATAAACATTTTACTACAGATACGTTGCGTATGCATTAGTAAAAATTCATTTGGTATTCAATTATGTATTTATATAATATTCTAAGGTATTAAATTTTCAAACAACATAAAATTAATTCTTAACCAAATTAATTTAAAAGCCCATTTAGAATTATGACCCATATTCATTAATATAGTGCATTTCAATCCTAAATTTTCAAACTGCAACATAAAATTTTTAAACAAATTAATTAAAACACCACATAGAAATGAGTATTTTGAATCTAAGCCAATGGGAGTTTTTGAGAGCACCTCTACTTAAAATAACGATTTTACAATTACACTAAAAAGGAGTTAAAAGCCATTAAAATATGTTTACTACACTCTCACTTAAAGATGCATATTTCACATTAATAGAAAAATTTACTTTCCTTAAATTTTGCATTAACATTTATTATTCATGCAAACAAAGATTTCAAATTCAAACTCTTTATATCATAAAATTTGATAATTAATACAAGGATACATTTAAAACGTTAACGTATTACAACGAGACAATTACAATAAAAATTCAATTATTGTTTACGTATTTATTATATTTTAAGAGTCTATCAAACATAGTTATTGGACAGTCGTATTAGTTTTAATTCATAGTTTTGAATTATCTTTAACCCTTGTTAAATTTATAAGCACTTCTATCCAATAGTGGACTTGGCCCAAAAAAATGTGGGAGAGAACGTTCTTTAGTATCGAGATTAGTTAACAAAGTAAACTACATTTGGCATAAACAACAAAAACTATAAACTTGTCAAGAAATTAAATCGTAAATGCTAACTAACACTGAGAGAACATTACCCCGTTTTTTTACATTTATGAGATTGTAGCGACTTCTTCGAGTAGAAATAATCACAGCAAACGGGACATTTTCCCTTATGCTCAGAATGGTGTCTTTTCAAGTGTTTATTCAGCAAACTTTTATGGGCAGATTCAAAATCCCAATAATCAAAATGTGTTTTTGTTTCGGAGTGAATATCCATGTGACGATTGAGATTGGATGATTGATTAAATGTTTGTTGGCAAATTTCACAAGAATACGGTTTCTCACCGGAGTGAGTACGCTTGTGTCTTCTGAGATTCCAGCATTGGGAAAAGGCCATTTTGCAAGTATTGCACACGAACGGTTTCTCACCGGTGTGAATGAGCTTGTGGCGTTTGAGACTAGACAATACAGATAATTCTTTTTTGCAGACATCACACACGTGTTTCTTTCCTTGCTCTCTTGGCTTCTTGGAAGAACTCAAAGCTGAATTCGAACACTCTTTAGACCTTGCAGAAGTACTACTTTGAGTCTTTTGACAGCTGTTGATTTTACCGTCTCTTATCCCGTCCGTTTCGTGAGAGGCTCCCCTGATGCTCAGGTCAAGAGGCTGACAACTACTTTCGTTAGGATTCATTTCACAATAACGCATTTTTTTATTCCACACACTACTTCAGGTTAAAGAGTCGTTAGTATTCGATATATTTCTTTTATTTGAAGTTCGTTGGGAAAAGAAATAATCAGAAGATTGGTGGACGTTCTCTGAAGAACGTACAGCATTTTGTCCTCCTTCCGCGCCAATATCGAAGCTCATCGGATTTGGACGTCCTGACATACGATGAAATAGATCAGCTGGCGGTTCACTTGACGTAGCATTTCCAGTCCCGGGGCGATTCTGCATGCTACGTCCTACTTGTATTCTTCGTAGGGTTTCAAAGAATGCCGGATCCTCTTCGTCATCTTTGAAGGAATCGCAAAAACTGTCGGCTGTTCTTTGATCTTTTGACATTTTTAAAACTAGTAATCCAAATAACTTGGTTTTTTTAAAATGTAATAACGATTAAATAAATTACAATACAAGACACTCAAACCTTCAGTTAAGGTTTTAATTTATTTAATGTTATAAAATTTTTATATTTATTTCAAAATGCGCATAAAACTTGCAAAACATAAAATAGCACGCTGTATTCATGACACAGCGTATTTATAAATTATTTGTTGCGCTGACTTCATGCGCTGTGCATCATTACAGAGCTTGTGGATATGTAAATTTTTTGACTGGAATGGAACTGCGATGGAAGTTGTTGATGGAGCTACGAAATGTTGCATGTCATTCAATTGAAGAGTAATGAAATTAAAATTATTTCTAACTTTCCAATTTAGATCTAGTTCGTGTGTCAATTTAAAGAATTTTAGATATTCCATTGTATAACGAAATAAAAAAAATGTCCTCTAAATCTTACAATCCATGTTAACCAAAATGTGATTACGGTGAGGATGGATTCGAATTTTGTTGATTAATTTAATTAGAATTCTTGCATAAATTCGAAGCGTAGTCTTATTGTAAGAATGTAATTACTTAAAATATATGTAAAATGAATTAAATACTCTCTTTTCATTGAATTGAATTATGGAGCTTTATTTTATCAAATCATGTGACAAAAATACTACTAAATGTATGAGAAACCAATGTACACCGAAGCCCAGCAATGTATCCTTTTAATACATTTGCTCATTTGTCATTCTGAAAAGAAGAAAGCCACAAGTATTTTATTTTTGAAATTAGTATTTTACTTTTGAGGACAATTTGAAGTAACGGATTTAATGAAAAACTTTCACTTATTGTAAAGTGAATGTAAGCATGAATTTTTCTACAAAAAAATTCTAATTCGAGCTGCCTGGATAAAACAGGTTGGATTCCAAGCTGTACAAGAGGTGCCGAGCTGAAAGTTTTCTTACTTATGCTTTAACCGGTAAATACATTAAATAGTTAGGCGGTGGTGTTATTGTTCAGTTCGGCAGGAGGGAGCAGTTTCAGAACTCGCAGACACCATAATCAAAGATGCAAATTAAAAATTATGATGTCTAATCGAATCTTAAAGTTGAAATGAAATCCACGGTGCACACCAGGTAAAGCTGAGTTCCTGTTCTTCAATTTGAGAAAGTCTTTGGCCAGAAGATTTACCGCATCCAATCTCGGCACAGAGTTTAACCCAATAAATAATCTGTCAAATAAATTTCTGTACACTTTTCTTAAATTAATATGCGAATGATTAAATTATTGTACTCTCTTCGTTTATTTTAATGTGTTAAGCTAAAAAAAAAAAAGGTGTTAAAAAAATTCATTTACGAACTCACGCTAAAGATTTAGATTATTTTTTTAAAGTTTTAGAGATTAAAGATAAATAGCATTTTTATAACAATAATAACAATATGTTTTATTAGATTATTATAGCAAAACACACAAACAAGCAGAGTCTCATAGTGGAAGCGTGCTGGGTCCATAACCCATAGGTCCGTGGATCGAAACCACGCTCTGATAGTAAACCTATTTTTTCATTTCTGACGATGGATTATTAACACAAGTTAATGTCCATGTATATTAAAAGGAATTTTAACACAATAACTAATCTGTTCAATAAACTTCTGTACACTTTTCTTACATTAATATGGGAAAGATTAAATTATTCTTATACATTTTCTTTATTTTATTGTGTTAAGTTAAAAAGTGTAAGTTGTAAAAAAAATGTTTTTTTACACCTGGTGAAGATTGAACATTTTTATAATAATAATAACAATATGTTTTACTAGATTATTATAGGAACTCGACCAACCGAGCTGAGTGGCGCAGTGGAAGCGTGCTGAGCCCATAACCCTGAGGCCCGTGGATCGAAACACCACTATGCTTGTAAAACATTTTTTTTTATTTCAGATGATGGATAATTAACGTCGTTTGATGTACGTTTACATCACGATATCTCAAGCACACTTTAGCATAATAAATCAACTACATAAACGTCTGTAAACTTTTCTTACAATTGTTTGTGAAAGATTAAATTATTCTTATGCACTTTATTTTAATGGGTTTAAGCTAATAAGTATAAATGTTTTCATGGACGTACAATACACGTAGAACGTTTTTATAACAGTATTAACAATATGTTTTGTTAGATTATTATAGGACAAAATTTAACCGAGCAGAGTGGTGCAGTGGAAGCGTGCTGGGCCCATAACCCTGAGGTCCGTGTATCAAAACCCCGCTCTGCTAGTAAACTTTTATTTCTGCCGATAGATTATTAACACCAGTTAATGTCCATGTATATAAAAAGGAATTTTTAAACGCAATAAATAATCTATCAAATAAACTTCTAAAAACTTTTCTTGCATTAATATGTGAAAGATTTTTAATGAAACACTTTAGTTCATAAAAGGGACGTTTGAACATGATTGCGCTTTTTGGAGTTGGAGAAGGAGAATCACTCAAAACACATAGTCCACGAAACAACACGCGGGATTTTGTCACTCATTGACGCAACCAGAGAGGAATAAACCACTTAGCTAATTAAACTGCATATAATTGAAGGTTTTCGAACATCGGAAATATTTGTAATTCTCTATTTCAGTTTCCTTATTCAAAAATATATTTGAGGAGGGGAAGTCCTTCTCAAAATTCAAATTATCAATTTAATTTAAGTGTAAAAATATGAATTTCTTATCCAGGCATAGCAGTTTCAGCGAAGAAAGGCTTCAAATTTTGATATTTTATTTGTTCAAAAATATTACGATATATCTTCAATTCGAAGCATTTTTCATGGTACTGTAACATTACCTCTATTAAGCATACATTTGTGTAGCTTAAAATCGATTTCAAGTAATGCAGGCTTTCACAGAATTCTTTCCTTTTTGAAATGTCGTTATCAATTAAAGTAAAAACTATTAGAAACACTCCCAAAATTCCATGGCAAATTTTGTTCTCTGGATACATTTGAAAATTTTTCTGGCCTTCTGATAAAATGTTTTTTTTCTTAAATTTTCCAACACTTCAACGTAGAACAAAAGGAGTATATTAGAAGGGGAAATAAATTTTAATACAATTAATGTAGAAAATATAATTAATATTTTAAAGCAAAGGAAATTTCCCATAATTTAAACGACTTGAATTGACAAAACAGGCAAACAAAAACGTCTTACAGATTTATATAGTACAGATGTAAGTCGACTAAACACTTTAATCGAATCAATCGACAGAAACAATTAAACCAAATTGCACGCAATATACCAAAATATTAATAGCTAATAATGAACTTTATCCGTATTTTTAATATACAAAAAAGGGCTTATTTGCATATTGTAATTAATAATTGAAGTAAAAGTTATAATTTAAGCAACTATATATTGACCATGTGATCAAGGAAATTTAATTCACCAAAAAAAGCATATTCCAACTCTTCAATAAAACAGAAATGGATTCAATATAATAACTTCAAGCATCTACCACCCCCAAGTTGATAGAATTATAACACCAGAAGGACACATTAGTCAATTACACCGATATAGCAGTATTGTTGGGGACTTCAAAGCCAAACACAGCACATGGTGTTATGATCAAGACCATTTTACGCACAATTGGTCAAATCTAAAGTATCTTAATATAAACACCGTATGTCTTGCGTTCTTCTACAACCACCGATAGTACTGTGGAAATGGAAATCATTAAAAATTACAGCACCGCTGAAACAACATCTTCCCTCAATGCTGTCTCGAACGAACATAATTGTGCGATATTAAACTCAAATATCGTCAAATAGAAGTGACGTCATATAAACCACTACCCTGTTCCCCTTTCAAAATTCCCTCAACTCCCCATAAGAGGCAATTCTACAACATTGAGTCTGATACTACGTCCAAAATCTGTATATTGCAAATAATTTTATACCGAGATTTAACATGAATGCAAACTACATTAATTTCTTGTTTAACGTTATTTCACAGCCCGCTTCGAACAAAGAGTTCCACAAGTAATACTTATTTTCAGATAAACTATTTATTGTTGTTTGTCTGCAATTTATTGTTGTTTGTTTGTAAATTGTATTTTTAACGAAAAGCGATACTCGGGAGATTCTCGATATATACATGCACCATTTTCCACTATCTACTGTTATTGTTTTTAGATTAAACTCATTCACTAAAGTATTTCATCTAATGGTAGCAATGTAGTTGTAATATTAGTGCAAACAAGTGGAGAATCTTTTGATTATCATGAGAGGTGTCAGCAAAATTAAAGAATATACATCAAACTAAGCATTTTATTATTAATAAATTTCGAACAATATATAAAAGCCACAAATTAAAACCAATAACTGTACATTTGAAGGAAGATACAGAAATATTCATTTTCATAAAGATTTTATATAGTTTGATTAATAATATTTAAAGGCAAAAATGGTTAATAGTAAAATTTTGAAAGCAAGAGGTTTGTGTATAGTGGTGATGCAAAGAATATTAATAATCATAGTTTTGAATCAACGGTTGGAAATATTACAACAGATTCAAAAAAAATTTACAAACATCCATAATTAGATAAAATATAAGTATAAAACACATCATAGATGCATCTAATACACATCTTACTATAGATACATCCGTTGCATAAAACGAGTAAAACTCCATTCGATATTCGTTAATTTATTAATATAATGCATCTAAATCATAAATTTTCAAACTCTAACATATAATTAACATTTATGGAAAATTAATTAAAACATCAATTATAAATGAATATTTTAAAACTATACCAATAGAATGTTTAAAAATACCTCAACTTAAGATATTTATTTTACAAGTACACTAAAAATATTTTAAAGCCAATTAAAATATATTGAATACATTCTAGCTTAAAGATGTATATTCAAAACAAAGGAAAAAAATTTTACACTAATATTTAGCAATAAAATTTATTATTCATGTAAACAAAATTTTAGATTAAGAATCATTATATCATTTAAAATAATAAAATTTGATAACTAACACGATGATCACATGTAAAACGTGAACGAATCACAACGGAACAATCACAATAAAACTTACACACTGAAGAATAGGCCGCTCAAGCACAAAACGGCTAATCCTCTCAATGAGAAAAATTAAATTATGGTAGCCTTATTTAATATTTTTTAAGTGTCTCTGAAACTTAGTTATTGTGCAGTCATATTGTATTTCTGATTTAGATCTTGGAACTTTCTTCAACTCTGGTTAATTTATTAGCACTTTTGTCCAATAGAAATTATTGCCCAAAAATGTTTGGGAGAGAACGTTCTTTAGTATCGAGATTAAATAACAGGGTAAACAACATTTGGCATTAACAAAAAGAAAAGTTTTACAATTAATCAACAAAATAAAATTTTAAATGCGTATTTATGCTAAGAGTTTGTTACTATATTTTTTTACATTTATGAGTTTGCAGCGACTTCTTTGAGTAGAAATAATGACTACAAACATCGCATTTTTCCTTATGCTCAGAATGACGTCTTGCCAAGTGTTTATTCAGCGAACTTTTATGGGCAGTTTCAAAATCGCAATAGTCACAATGTAATTTTATTCCGGAGTGAATAGCCTTGTGAGAATTGAGACTGGACGATTGAGTAAATGTTTGTTGGCAAATTTCGCAGGAGTAGGGTCTCTCCCCGGAGTGAATACGCATGTGTTTTTTGAGATCTGAGGATTCGTAAAAGGCCATTTGGCAATTGTTGCACACTTGCGGTTTCTCACCGGTGTGAGCGTGCTTGTGACGTTTGAGACTAGACAAACGCGATAATTCTTTTTTGCAGACGTCACACACGTGTTTCTTTCCCTGGTCTCTTGACTTCTTAGAAGAACTCAAAGCTGAGCTCGAACACTCCGCAGAACTCGCGGAAGTATTACTTTGAGTCTTTTGACAGCTGTTGATTTCACCGTCTCTTATCCCGTCCGTTTCGTGCGAGGCTCCCCTGATGCTCAGGTCAAGAGGCTGACAACTACTTTCGTTAGGATTCATTTCACAATAACGCATTTTTTTATTAAATATATTACATCCGGAAGCGGAGTCATTAGTTTTCGCTATACTTCTTTTATTTGAAGTGGACTGCGACAAGAAATATTCAACAGATTGTTGCACGTTCCCTGAAGAACGGACGACATTTTGTCCACCTTCCACGCTCATACCGGAGCAGATAGGATTTCGAGATCCTGACATACGATGAAATAGATCAGCTGGCGGTTCACTTGACGTAGCATTTCCAGTCCCGGGGCGATTCTGCATGTTACGTCCTACTTGTACTCTTCGTAGGGTTTCAAAGAGTGCCGGATCCTCTGCCTCATCTTTGAAGGTTTCGCAAAACTGTCGGCTTTCCTTTCATCTTTTGACATTTTTAAAACTAGTTATCCTAATAACTTGGGTTTTTTCAAAATGTAATAACGATTTAATAAATTACAATACAAAAACACTCAGAAAACTTCAGTTAAGGTTTTAATATCATTTAATGTTATAAAAATTTTATATTTAATTCAAAATGCGCATAAAACTTGCAAAACATAAAATAGCGCGCTGTATTCATGACACAGCGTATTTATAAATTATTTGTTGCGCTGACTTCATGCGCTGTACACCATTACAGAGCTTGTGGATATGTAAATTTTTTGACTGGAATGGAACTGCGATGGAAGTTGTTGATGGAGCTACGAAATGTTGCATGTCATTCAATTGAAGAGTAATGAAATTAAAATTATTTCTAACTTTCCAATTTAGATCTAGTTCGTGTGTCAATTTAAAGGATTTTAGATATTCCATTGTATAACGAAATAAAAAAAAATGTCCTCTAAATCTTACAATCCATGTTAACCAAAATGTGATTACGGTGAGGATGGATTCGAATTTTGTTGATTAATTTAATTAGAATTCTTGCATAAAGTCGAAGCATAGTCTTATTGTAAGAATGTAATTACTTAAAATACATGTAAAATGAATTAAATACTCTCTTTTCATTGAATTGAATTATGCAACTTTATTTTATCAAATCAAGTGAAAAAAATACTACTAAATGTATGAGAAACCAATGTACACCGAAGCCCAGCAATGTATCCTTTTAATAAGGTTCATTTGTCATTCTGAAAAGAAGAAAGCCACAAGTATTTTATTTTTGAAATTAGTATTTTACTTTTGAGGACAATTTGAAGTAACGGATTTAATGAAAAACTTTCACTTATTGTAAAATGAATGTAAGCATGAATTTT